TGAAAGTGCTTCCTGGTGGGTGAGGCAGGAGCACGTGCTTATTCTGCCCTTTCCCTCCACAGAATTATCAGGAAGCCCTTCGATACATTGGCAAGCTTCCTTTTGAGCAGGCAGAGAGCAACATGAAACGCTACGGCAAGATCCTCATGCACCACATACCAGAGCAGACGACCGAGTTGCTGAAGGGACTTTGTACCGACTATCGGCCCAGCCTTGAAGGCCGAGGCGATAGGGAGGCTCCAGGCTGCAGGGTGAGGCCTCAGGGAGAATGGCTTTTGGACAGCGGGGATCACCTTAGCAGCCCAAGTACCGAGCCCGCTCACTCGGCCACCTCTCCTCCCTTGCCGTCCTAGGCCAACTCAGAGGAGTTCATCCCCATCTTTGCCAACAACCCGCGGGAGCTGAAAGCTTTCCTAGAGCACATGAGTGAGGTGCAGCCTGACTCCCCACAGGGCATCTATGACACGCTCCTTGAGCTGCGACTCCAGAACTGGGCTCACGAGGAGGAGCCGCAGGTGAGACCTGGCAAAGTGGCCGGAGGCGCTGGAGAGAAACTGCTTCCATTTCTTTCCTGGTTGCCTCTTGCTGCTTTCTTTAGACCAATAACACCTCACCCTTGGGGGCTAAATGGTCCCCCGTGAAGAGGAAATAGGACTGAGGGGAAGAGATAGTTGACTTGCCTGGTCTGAGAGGCCTTGTCGTTTTTCCCTGATGCCCAGCAGCTCCACCCTCCTCTTTTAGGTCAAAGAGAAGCTTCACGCAGAGGCCATCTCCCTACTGAAGAGTGGTCGCTTCTGTGATGTCTTTGACAAAGCCCTGGTCCTCTGCCAGATGCACGACTTCCAGGATGGGGTCCTTTACCTCTATGAGCAGGGGAAACTGTAAGAGTCTGGGGAATCGCAGGGAAGGGGACCGTGGCCGAGCCTCCCGTGGGGGACAGCTGCTGATGCGCGCCTTGCCCGGCCGCAGGTTCCAGCAGATCGTGCAGTACCACATGCAGCACGAGCAGTACCGGCAGGTGCTCGCCGTGTGCGAGCGCCACGGGGCGCAGGAGCCCTCCCTGTGGGAGCAGGCGCTCAGCTACTTCGCCCGCAAGGAGGAGGACTGCAAGCAGTACGTGGCGGCCGTGCTTAAGCACATCGAGGGCAAGAACCTCATGCCGCCTCTCCTAGGTACTCCGGAGGACAGGGCGGGCGGCTGGGTGCAGGCTGCCGGCAGTCGGGCTCTGGGGCAGGGGTCCTTCCGTTCTATCCAGAGGGCTGCTTGGTTCATGGTCTTGTTTCCTCCCGGACCCCCATCTCAGTTGTGCAGACCCTGGCCCACAACTCCACGGCCACCCTGTCTGTCATCCGGGACTACCTGGTCCAAAAACTGCAGAAGCAGAGCCAGCAGATCGCGCAGGACGAGCTCCGGGTGCGGCGCTACCGAGAGGAGACCACCCGTATCCGCCAGGAGATCCAGGAGCTGAAGGCGAGGTACTTGGCATCCAGAACTGTGGAGGCGTCCGGGGATAACACTGTTCTTCACAGGGTGTCATTTTTCAAAGACAGGATTGTATGGAGTGTGTTTGAGCATTTCATTCTTGAAGATCTGTTTTGATGGAGGAATTCCAAAGAATGATTTACTACGTAGAACGTGATTTATTGGGCTTTGGAGGATATTATCTTGTAGCAGGTACTTTTCTTGGGTTGGATGGACCTGCTGGGAGGGTGCTGAGACTCCATGCAGGCCCAGCGTGGGGTCCTCCTGTGACCCGCTTTAGGTGGTAAGAAGAGCAGGGCCTCGTAGTTCCTTAACGGGGACCTCTCTCTCCTCATTGCCTCCAACTGCCTTCTCTCTCCACGTGGTTCCTGGCCCTGCCCTCACTTTCTGCCACTCTTTTCTGGTCTCCCTTGCCTGTAGTCCGAAGATTTTCCAGAAGACCAAGTGCAGCATCTGTAACAGTGCCTTGGAGTTGCCCTCAGTCCACTTTCTCTGCGGCCACTCCTTCCACCAGCACTGCTTTGAGAGTTACTCAGAAAGTGATGCCGACTGCCCCACCTGCCTCCCTGAAAACCGCAAGGTCATGGATATGATTCGGGCCCAGGAACAGAAGCGAGATCTCCATGACCAGTTCCAGCACCAGGTGGGGATGACGTGACTCCCCCGCCCACAGGGAGGTGGTGAGCGCTGGGGACTGGTGTTCTTTTCTCCTCCTCCTGTGGGTTTTTTTTTTTTTAAACATTTTTTATTTCTTTAATGTATCTATTTTATTTATTTAGTTTTGGCTGCATCGGGTCTTCGTTGCTGTGCGCAGGCTTTCTCTAGTTGCGGCGAGCGGGGGCTACTCTGTTGCGGTGCGCGGGCTTCTCATTGCAGTGGCTTCTCTTTCTTTTTTAAAGAGATGGAATGAGGTGTTCTGTTTTATTTTGATTGATTGATTTTTGGCTGTGTTAGGTCTTCGTTGCTGTGCGCAGGCTTTTTATCTAGTTGCGTTGAGCGGAGGCTACTCTTCGTTGAGGTGTGCGGGCTTCTCATTGTGGTGGCTTCTCTTGTCGTGGAGCACGGGCTCTAGGCACGCAGGCTTCAGTAGTTGTGGCTCGCGGGCTCTAGAGCACAGGCTTAGTAGTTGTGGCCCATGGGCTTAGTTGCTCTGAGGCATGTGGGATCTTCCCAGACCAGGGCTCGAACCTGTGTCCCCTGCATTGGCAGGCAGATTCTTAACTGCTGTGCCACCAGGGAAGCCTGTCCTGTGGGTTTTTGACTCGCAACTCTTCTCTTTCCCTGCAGCTCAAGTGCTCCAACGACAGCTTCTCTGTGATTGCTGACTACTTTGGCCGAGGTGTTTTCAACAAATTGACTCTGCTGACCGACCCGCCCACAGCCCGACTGACTGCGAGCCTGGAGGCTGGGCTGCAGAGGGACTTGCTCGTACACGCCAGGAGGGGCACTTAAGCAGCTAGTGGGAGGGGTGTGGCGGTGGAGGCCCAGCAGCAGGGACTCAGGGGGACAGAGACAGGGCTGTTGCACAGGAGTTAGCAGACATGCCCAGGACTCTGCTCTCATCTGATGCCATAGCCCTCAGGACTTAAGGGGACTTTCTTTTCCTGCCTCCTTCTTCGGCCAACCTGCCATTTGTCCTGTTGACTTTTTGAGCAGTGTAGATCATTCCAGACCAGAGGGGGAGGGCACCTCAGCAACCTCGGAGTCTGGACAATAGCGGCTTTATTCTCTATCCAAGAGCACCAGGCTGTGCTTGGGTCCTGGCTCCCAGAGTCTATAAATAAAAGCATATAATGATTTCGGGGTTGAAGGATTTATTCTGGGGACTTCCTGGTGATTCTTAACTGTGCAAAATGTACTTCTTTCCCTCTGCTCTCCTAGAGCTCCCCTTCCCTTCCTACAGAGTTCCTTAAAGATGATGTTCACGAGACTTCATTCCAGTAATGAGTGGGGCCTATGGCATCTAGTAGAGTTCAGTTGAAGAACCTCTGCAAAGGCCTGAGGCCTGAGCCCCAAGAGCAGCCCGTACTGAGGGCTCTGCTCTATAGTGTGGCTGGCCTCTGTGGCTCTTGTATGGACAGAGTATTCAAGCTGGAGGCAGATTCTGGTGGGGAGCCTTGGGCTTTAAAGCCTGCCATCATAATGGGTGGGTTGGTGTCTCTCTGTATTCAGTACCAGATGATAAGCAGGATAAAAGGGCCTTTATTGAAACATTTTGTTCCTTCTTCCAAAGTTGTTAACTGAAGTTTGTGTTGCTAAGTGTCTGCGTGTAATTGGGGTTACACCGCCCGTTGGAAAATTGCTCCTATGGGGTTGTTTAATTAAAAGAAGTAACTTAAGACATTGTGGTTTAGGTAGTTCTAGAAGAGGCGGATGGAGTACACTACATTGGTAGCAGCTAAGAATACAGACTTTGGATCAGCTGCCCTGAGCTTGATTCTTAGTTTCACTTAGGGCAACTCTGAACCTTCTCTGAACCTCAGTTTCTTCGTCTGAACATGAGGAATTACAACATCTTTCTAGTACGGCTGTTATGAAGGTCAAAGGAGCCAATCAATGGATGTGTTACTGGTCCCCAAGAGGTCAGTGACCCCTCAGTGGGTCCTTTGCCTGGAGTTGCAAATTCCGGTCAAACAACACCATGTTCGGTATAGCAGAGCAGAAACTATTCATTGATCAACGAATGGAGAAGGGAGAGCACATGCTCTAAAGACACCTTCTCCCCCAAAGGAGGGCAGTAAGAGAATTTAAGGGATAGGAGGCAGACATATCATCAGGGCTCTAGGAAAGGGGCAGAGATTTCGGCGGCCGGGGGTGGGGGTGGGGTGGGGAGCTGGGGCATCACAGTCTTCCACATGGCAGGAATTTGCGCCTAGCAGAGTACAAATATCCCCCTTGGGCGGGGATCTTGGCATGGTAATGAAGCAAAGGTAGCTTTAGGACACTACCAGGTCCTGTGGTCAAGTCAGAGCTAGTTCGGGGCTGTTGACCACTGCATATCTCTTAAAGCTCAGTTGCAAAACATCTCTGTCAAATACCAGGTGCTTTTGAAGCACAGAGATAAGTCAAGGCTGGAATCTTGTAGCCCTCAGGCTGGTATGGATGACAGGTGTCCAGTTATTTGAAAGTGGTTAATACGTGGTTATTAGTACTGTTAATGGGTAAAGCACTTCTACTCACAAGCCCTTTTCCCACTAACACTAATGATGTGTTGTCACTCCCATTTCAGTTATTTGTCTTTAGTTGCCTACTTCAGGGTTGTAGCAGAAGCAGCACCACATAAGCTGCACTAATTGCTTGTGCCACAGCTAAGGAGACAAAGCTGTGGAATTCTGGGTGACTAGCTTTCAGAAGCAGGCTTCTTTTATTTGTAGACGTTGAATGCAGCCTGGGGGCATGGTAAGTTGCTCAAGTAGCCTTTAACTTCCGACGCCGCATTGTAGGGTTAATCTCCTTTTCCTCTCGGCACGCCTACTTTTGGTTTATTGACGTTCCCTTGGGTGGCGGTAGGAGGGACTGCAAAGAACTTACTTTGTGGATAAATCCGGGAAGCATATCTTGGCCACTGACCGTCGGTATTCCTGGCTAGGTAAAAGTAAAAATGAACAGTTGGTGGGTCTGGGTCTCAAACGGGGAAGACCAGGGCCAGCCTGGGGGAGTAGGGGCGGCAGCGCAAGGTAAGGTCTTCTCTGTTGCAATCGTTCTAATTCCCGCCCAGGGGAGGTCTAGCCCCTCTGGGGCGGGGCCGGAAGTGACGCAGGCCCTTAGCGGAGCCGGGAGTGTGTGGCTGCCGAAGGATTGCGAGCTCCCGCGTGCGCCCAGTTCCCGGCCGGCCGGAGCCTTCGGCTTGCCTGACTCCGGAGGACACTGGCAGCAGTCCCCGGCCTACTTACCGCGCACAGCCATGTCTGGTAACGGCGACGCGGCCGCAACGGCGGTGAGTCCTGAGCCGGTGACCCTCGCAGCTTCGGTCTTCTGCACTAGCAGTGCCACGATTGGCCCCAAGTTGCCACTCTCCGTCGTCAATTGGTCGGGACGATTATCTGTCTGTTTTTTTTTTTTTTTTTTTTTGGTTCTAACAGTTTTTAAAGGGCCAGTAGCTGGGTTGCCCGTAGGGGAATCAGAGAGCGGTGGGGGCGGACTTAAGAGCAGATCGATTGTCTCGAACGGAACCCCGTTCCTGCGGGGATCTGGATGGGATTCCATGAGGCATGGCTTCCGCGGCTCTAGCTATAGTGACCCAACACAGGAAAATTCGTCTGCACGAGACAGCGTGCTATTCCCCGGGATCCCTTCACACGAGACAGGTCCTAGTCGAGATTCAGCCACTTTGGGGAAGTGTTCCATTTTGGATCCAGAAAGGAGAGTGTACCTCGAATTCTCCGAAGTGCACACAAACGTCTTGGAAGTGCACCTTCTCCGCTTTTTTTCTTTTTAATGGACACCCAGCCCCAGCCTACACTCAAAAGTCCCCAGCTGAGACACATCATTGGGTTACTACCATGGACGGGGGACGCCCTTGGGCCTTCCTATTCCTAGCCTGGGGTCCCAGTTCTGGGCTTTTGCAGATGCAAACTGCAGAGCCCAGGAGGCCAACGTCAGCCTGAGATAAGAAAGGAGTGGGGCAGCTGCCCTATCTCTCCCTGACCTATGTGCTGGTAAGGAGTGGGATTCTGTGCCATTGCTGACATTCCTGAGTGCTGGACTAGGAGTAAGAAGATTCGGATTCCAGCTCTCTACCCATGATTAACCCTGTGGCCCTGGGCAAGTCACTTTGCTCCTCAGAGCCAGACTTTGCTTCTGTAACGTAGTTCCAGAGATGCCTGCCCTTGTCTACCTGATAGGTTGTTATGAAGATTAAAAGCAATAGCTCTAGGATATACATGCTCAATAAGGAATTTTTTACTGGAACAATTTGACTTGAATATGCTGTGCAGAATCAATGAAATTAAGGGATTGTTTGAACATAGCAGTTTCTGGGACCTTAGATTCCTTTCTGTGGGCTGCCTGTGGCCCAGAATTTTAGTTGCCATGTTTAGCATTTCCAACCTAGCCTTATTTGCTTAGGGTCCCCCAGGGTTTATTTATTGGAGAAGTGATAGCTATGGAGTAGACTAGAGTCCAAGAGCAGCCAGCTGTCACCTCCTCCAGCAACAGAGGCCCCAGATACCTGACTGCAGAAGAACTCTGTAGGATGAAGATCCCAGAGCAGGGGAAGTTGATAGTATCTACAGTGATCACTGTCTGATCTGGGAAGAAATAGGACCTCAGACTGGAGAACCCAGTTCTGCCTGCTTGGCACTGAATACCTTTGTCCAAGGTGCCCTGGCAAGAGGAAGAGGCATGGCCCTTTGAGTTCTTGGCTTGGTCTCTGACATCCTAATATTTCCTTTGTGGTGAAACCAGAGGCTGCACTCTAGGTGAATGGACATTAGACAGCTCACCCTCTTAGTCTTACAGAATATCAAAAGCAGAAGATACTTGAGTGCAAACTTCTTCATTTTATAGATGAACAAACAGGTTTATAGATGAACAAATAAGATGATGTGTTCAAGTTCGCCCAGCCAAGGCTGAGCAGGACTGTACGTCAGATCTGTCGATCCCAGTCATGCATTCCGTCCAGATTATGGGATCCATAGTGCAGCAGCTGTGGGGTAGCTCTTATGGCATCTAGGTGGCACTGAAGCTTTCTCAAGTGCCGCTCCGTTGTGGATGCTGAACTTGTCCTCAGTGACTCAGCTCACGGTCCCCTGTGTGGCCCCAGCTGTCCTGCCCCTGCCTGCTGCAGGCCCCACCCTCCCTGGGGCCAGACTGATAGACCTTATCTCTCTACCCACCTGGCTGAGTGCAGCATTCCTACTGCCTTAGCTTGGATGGGCTTCAGGGCTTAGTGTCCTGGTCATTACAGCAACAGCAGGTCCTACTGTCACTTCTGTCTGGTCTCTGCTTCTCTGGATCCCTGAGGAGCCAGAAGGTATTGTTGGGGAAGGTAAAGGGACCAGTCTTGGGGAGGGGAGTGTTTCCCCACTCCAAGGCTCAGCTGGCCACAGGCCAGGGGCTGAGGTTCCTTTCTTCCAAGCCAGTGATTCTGGTTCTTGGACCAGGTGTTGAGGAACACAAAGAGCAGCAGGGACTGTGACCTGGGGACTTTTTCTGCAGGAAGAAAACAGCTCAAAGATGAGAGTGATTCGCGTGGGTACCCGCAAGAGCCAGGTGAGTGTAAGTACCGGGGTGGAGGAGCTTTGTCAGAAGACTTCTGTGTTCACAGTATTATAAGTTGGGGGGGCCAGAGCGTTCTCAGCAGCTCGGGGATGGAAGAAATGGGGTGACTGAGTATCAAATCCCACGCAGGATGACAGATTGCATTCTGTAAAGAGATAGTCCCTGGGCTGGGAAGTTGGGGTACAAAGGACTCCCAGGCCAGACCCCTCCCCTTCCTAGGTGGGCATTCAATCCCCTCTCTGAATTCCAATCCTTTCAGGATCTCCCTGACCCTGTGAGGGTCTGACCTTAGGGTGGTGGCCAGAGGACCGGACTAACCTGAATTTCTACCCCCAGCTGGCCCGCATACAGACGGACAGTGTGGTGGCAACGCTGAAAGCCTTATACCCAGGCCTGCAGTTTGAAATCAGTGAGTTTTCTGGAAAGGAATGGAAGCTAATGGGAAGCCTTTAACCCCTGGAGGGGAGAACACAGTGTTTCTGGCTTTGTCTTGCACCAAAGCCTGGTTCTGTTGCCTCTGAGAATTCTTCTTGGCTGTCCCCAGTTTGGAGGGCCCTTTCCTTCTCTGAACACCTCCAGCTCTGACTACCTGGGCTGGCCTGCTTTGGGTCTTTTTGTGGTTACGTCCGGTCTTCCTCCTAGATCGTACATTCCCAGAGGGTAGGGATTGGGGCTTATGTGCCTCTGTATCCACCAACAATCTCAGCACAAGTGCTGAGCTCAGTAGGGGCTCAATAAATGCTGATCACTGAACGTCTGGTTTGTTGATTCTCTCCTCAGTTGCTATGTCCACCACAGGAGACAAGATTCTTGATACCGCTCTCTCTAAGGTAACATTTTCCATCCAACCCTTTTCCCCCTCCTCTTTCCTTCCCCCAAAAGATTCACCCTGAGGCTCTTTCTTGCCTGGCAGATTGGAGAGAAGAGCCTGTTTACCAAGGAGCTGGAACTCGCGCTGGAGAGGAATGAGTAAGTGAAAGCAGGGAGCATGGCGCCCTCCCAGGCTCTCGCTAGGACCCCAGTGCACATCAGACCTGGGTATCAGCTAGACTGTTGGGCTTAAACGCTTGGCTAGGCTAGAGAGGGGCTCATATGCAAGTTTTTCAGGCCTCAGAAAAGGAGAGTATCCTGGTTCTGAGCCATCTGGCTGCCTGGGGGTGCAGGACTGGCTGGGGGAGGGGGGTGAAAGGGAGTGTAGGAGGGGAGCAGGTCTCTGGGACCCAAGGTCTCAGAAAGGCCTGCTTCCTGAACCGCTCTAGGCTCTGCCAGTGACGTACAGGCAGGAGTGGGTGGAGAAGGGCTGGGGACGTGCTGCTCAGACCCCTTCTCCTTCCCTCTCTGCCATCTCTCTAGAGTGGACCTGGTTGTTCACTCCCTGAAGGACCTGCCCACGGTGCTTCCTCCTGGCTTCACCATTGGAGCCATCTGCAAGTAAGAGTCCTGCCAGTCAGGGGCCTCATATTAACCTTGACTTTCCCCTTTGGGACTTGGCCCTCTGCCTCTAGGCTGTCTCCCCTGCCCTGAGGAGTGTCAAGCATGGCAGAAAACTCAGAAGATGCCAGTTAGTTGACTATTGAGAGAGCCTGGAAGTGACCTGAACCGAGATCTCTCCCTTATTCTATGACTTTCCCTCCATCCCCAGGCGGGAGAGCCCCTATGATGCTGTGGTCTTTCACCCAAAATTTGTTGGGAAGACCCTAGAAACCTTGCCAGAGAAGAGGTGAGTGGGGCCTGGATAGGCATCTTGGTGGGATGTGCACAGAAGATGGAGGGGTGGGAGGAGGAGGGAAGGAACAGTGCCTGCCTAGTTAAATCTCATGTGACTTAAATCTCATTTTAAACCATCTCTCTGAGCAGCGTGGTGGGAACTAGCTCCCTGCGGAGAGCGGCCCAGCTGCAGAGAAAGTTCCCACATCTGGAGTTCAAGAGTATTGTATCCTTTTAGCGGAGGGAGGAGGCAGCGGCCAAGGAGGAAGACCAGGTCCAGAGGGCCCTGGGAGTTGTGAGAGTGGAAGGGGCTTCCAGAGGAAGTGGACCATGGATGCAGTGGACTGCCTGTCCTCCCATTCATCCACCCATCCATCCATCCATTCATTCATGATCCTTTCATGTTTTCTTAGCCCCAGGCAAGTGCCTGGCACCGGGGATATGGTGAGCAAGATCAACATTGTCCCTGCTTACACGGAGTTTACATTTTAGTGCTGAAGACAGACAACCAGGCATTGATAATACAGAGTGATACTGAATAATGATTACATCGAGGGAGGGGGGTTGGGGGGGTGCTTCCATTTAAATTTAAATAATTAAAAATTGGTTTTATTATAGTTGATTTACAACGTTGTGTTAGTTTCTGGTGTATAGCAAGTGATTGTTGTACATATATATACATATTCCTTTTCATATTCTTTTCCATTGTAGTTTATTGCAAGATATTGAATATAGTTCCCTGTGCTATATAATAGGACCTTGTTGTTTATTTTATATATAGTACTTTGCATCTGCTAATCCCAAACTCCTAATTTATCTCCCCCCATCCCCTTTCCCCTTTGGTAACCATAACTCCATTTTTATTTTATATTCCACTATATTGTTTTGATCTTTACAATGTTATATGTTTGTAAAACTGATTTTCAAAATAGTATTTGCTAAGTGCTCCAGTGCACAAAGTAGGGAATTCTCTGGAAGCTTCTAGCTGGAACATCTAAACACAGACTTGAGAGTCAAGGAAGGCTTCTCAGAGGTCTTGTAACCTTGGGCAAGTTATTAAATAAATTAAAACCTCTCTATCATTTTCTCATCTGTAAAATGGAGATGATAATACTACCTACGTCATAGGGTTGTGAAAATTAAATGAATTGACATATCTATAGCGTCTGGCATGTAGTAAGTATGAGGTAAGTGTTAGCTGTTGTCATTAAGCTGAGAACTCAAAGGTGAGAAGTTAGCAGATTGAGAGACTCAGGCAAAGGGAACAGCATAAGGCTCCAGACTGCCCAAAGCTTGTGGTCCTTAGCGCCTCTCCACAGCGGGGAAACCTCAACACACGGCTTCGGAAGCTGGATGAGCTGCAGGAGTTCAGTGCCATCATCCTGGCCGCAGCTGGCCTGCAGCGCATGGGCTGGCAGAACCGGGTGGGGCAGGTAGGGCCTGCCACTCTTCACGCCCCAGTTGATCTTCATCTCCTTCTTGCCTGTGTTCTCTTTTTGAATCCCACCTCTAACAGTGCAAGCTGGAAATGAGTCCCAGGTTGGGAAGACTGGGGATCAGAGGCCAAACTCCCACTCTTGCCTCTCCAGCCCTTCTGTATGCTAGAAAAGCCCCATCTCACTGCTGTGTGCTTTTAGGCACTCCCACCTCCACCCTTCTGACTGCCTCTTCTGCCCCCACAGATCCTGCACCCTGAGGAGTGCATGTATGCTGTGGGTCAGGTATGCTTGACCAGGGAAGCCGTGTATTGATGTGTCCCTTTCTTTTGTTTTCAACCAAGAACACTCCCAGAGAGGGGCAAGCCTTGGGAGGCTACTGGCCCCAAAGGACCTGGCAAACAGGTGGAAGTAGGCTGGTTCCCATCCTTAGCTCCATTGGTTGGGGAAAGATTGGCCCTGATATCTTAGGCTATTTTTCCATCAGGGGGCTCTGGGAGTGGAAGTTCGAGCCAAGGACCAGGACATCTTGGATCTGGTGGGTGTGTTGCATGATCCTGAGACTTTGCTTCGCTGCATTGCTGAACGGGCCTTCCTGAGGCACCTGGTAGGGCCTGTGCTCTTGTGGAGGGGTGGGTACCTGGGGAGCTGGGAAGGGCAGTGGGGAGATTTCTCAAATTATTGCTCTGTATTTAGTGGTAACTCATCCTTCAAAGTATGGACAGGACCCAGGTCTGGGCCGCTACCTCATTTTCAGTTATGTCCTTAGAGGGGTCTGTTATCTCTGAGGACTCTGGTTACAGGGTGGTGGTAAGGGTTCTTGGAGCTCACAGGGAGAACTTGTTGCAGGAAGGAGGCTGCAGTGTGCCAGTGGCAGTGCATACAGCTATGAAGGATGGGCAAGTAAGCAGGGGAAGATGGGTGGGAGGGCAGGGAAGGGACTCTGGCATTTCTCCTGTGCATCCTGAGCTGCCAGCAAGAAAAGTCCAGGTTTCTCAGCAGTTCCCTCTCACAATTTGCTGAGGCAACTGCTTTCTTTCCCAGCTATACCTGACTGGAGGAGTCTGGAGTCTGAATGGCGCAGATAGCATGCAAGAGACCATGCAGGCCACCATCCACGTCCCTGCCCAGGTGCCAAGGCTGGAGGGTGACGGAGAGGGTAAAAAACACGTCTGTATGTTAATACCCGTTTTGTGCTCACCAAATCCTACCCTCCTTCCCTTACCCAGCATGAAGATGGCCCTGAGGATGATCCACAGCTGGTGGGCATCACTGCCCGGAACATTCCACGACGAGCCCAGCTGGCTGCTGAGAGCCTGGGCATCAGCCTGGCCACCTTGTTGCTGAACAAAGGAGCCAAGAACATCTTGGATGTTGCACGGCAGCTCAATGATGCCCACTAACTGGTCTGTGGGGCACAGGTGCCTGGGTTGCTGGTGCCCCGTGCCTACATCCCAGCTTCAGTCTCTGTTACCTTGGGGGTGATTCCCAGGGATGGAACTGCAGGGGCGGAGACTTAGAGACTTGTCTCAACTTGGGGCCTTGGTGATGCCTTGTCTCCTCAGTAGGTGGAGGCTTAGTCTCTAGAGAAAAAACATCTAACAAGCCACAGCCTTTGAATGTAACCAGCTCTACTAATAAACTAGATTTGAAGGTGGCTTTGTTTTTGATGGGGTTGCAGGAAAGAAAGATAAGGACAAACGCAAGACCCTTTGCTCCTTACCTCAGAGGCTAAGACCCCTGGTCCAAAGTTCTCCTGGAATACATTGCCTTCTGTTTCTGTCTCAGTAGTTCTGACAGAATAAATTGTCTCCCAGGGAACACCAAGAAAGAACCATAATCTTATAATCTACGATTTGCCGCTCCAGTTAACGGTAAAGCCTTTGTATCAGATAGCTCCCCTCCCCCACTACCTTTAGGAATCTACAGTCATCGATCCTACAACCCGTCTGCAAAATGAAGAGACACCTCACTGTTTAAAAAAGAAAATCCTTTAATAAACAAAATTAGTCCATCTGAAACTCCCCAATACCTAAAGTACTGTCTTGGATGGGTTAGCTGCAGAATTCCAGTTCCGAGGCCAACGGCGACTCAGTCCAGATGGGGATTAACGGACTAGTGCTGGTATCTAGGTGCTTGGCTTGCGGAGCGGACCCGCCGGGAGGGGCGCGGGTCCAGGGGCAGGACTCCCGCAGACCCCACGCCGCCGGGACCCGACACCGCGGGAGATGCTCACGCCGCGAAGTGTGTCTTCCGGGACGCGCACAGGCCTGCGAGTGGAGATGGAGGGAGCGCGGACGTGCAAGGCTCGGGATCCGGCAGCAATGGGCGTCCCGGGACAAATGAAGTGACCGACTGACTCCGCCGCCGTCAACCGAGTCCCGTCCGGAGCACCGGGCTGGTGGGGAACGCGCGCGCGCGGCCGCGCCGGCGGCCGTCCGCACCGACTCACCTTCCCCGCCACGCGCCCCGGCCCTGCGTCAGCGCGGCCGGCCCAGCCTTCTAGAAGGTGCCGCGGCCTCCCCGCAGCCCATCAGCATTCGGGGGCCAGGCCGGCCGAGTCACGAGCTCGCTCCTGGCACCGAGCGGCGTTCAAACGGCCGCCCTCCGCCGAGCCACGGCAGGAGCGAGCCGCGCGGGGGAGGGGCAGGCCGCGCGGCGGCGGGGCCGCGGAGGGGGCGAGTGAGCTGCCGCCCGGCCGGGAGCCCGACGCGGCCCAGCTCTTTCCGTGAGCTTTGTGGTGGCCCTTAAAAGGGCCTTTGTGGTGGCGAGGGGAGGGGCCAGGCGGCGGCGGTGGCGGCGGCGCGGGCGCCCTCAGTACTCTTGCGAGGCCTGGGTGGCCTTCTTGCCGCCCGCGGGCGCCTTCGGCCCCACGGCGGCGCTGGTCTTCTTGGGCAGCAGTACGGCCTGGATGTTGGGCAGGACACCTCCCTGGGCGATCGTCACGCCGCCCAGCAGCTTGTTGAGCTCCTCGTCGTTGCGGATGGCCAGCTGCAGGTGGCGGGGGATGATCCGCGTCTTCTTGTTGTCGCGGGCCGCGTTGCCCGCCAGCTCCAGGATCTCGGCTGTGAGGTACTCGAGCACCGCCGCCAGATAGACCGGCGCGCCGGCGCCCACCCGCTCGGCGTAGTGTCCCTTCCGCAACAGCCGGTGCACGCGGCCCACGGGGAACTGGAGGCCCGCTCGCGACGAGCGCGACTTGGCCTTGGCGCGGGCCTTACCGCCTGTCTTGCCGCGGCCCGACATGCTGCGCGAGGTAGAGGAACGGAGAGGAAGGCTGCTCACGAGACTAAGGAACAGCCGTCCGCCGCAGTCCAACTGCTGCCGCGCGCGCCCAAGGGCCGCCCTTATAAGCCCCCAGGGCGCACCCCCGCGTCCTCCTGATTGGCTCTTTTCTCCAATACCCGCCTCCGGTTGGCTGCGGTTAACCCTTCGATGACGCGTCTCAGCTGAGGGAACGCGCCCGCCAATTGGCCGAATTTGAAAACCTTTTGCCCGGGGAAAAGGCGAGGAGGAGCGGCAGCAAGCAGTCAGCCAACCACTCCCGGGTGTAGCCAATCCAAGTGAAGCGCGCCAGATTTAAACCCTACAGCCCAGACCAGAGCCGGAAGACAAAGAGGGTGGAGTCTGAAGTCACCTCAAGAGCCTCAGGGAAGTCTGTGCGGGTCTAGGATTTTTAAAGGAAAGGGGTCAAACACTACGGCTACCTCTTCCTCCGGTCCCAGGTCTGGTCACTCCCTCCTCCTGCCTGGCAAAGGGAGAGTGAAAAAGGGAAGGAATGAGACCCCCTGAAAGTCCAACCCCATACCAGAGAACAGATAACGCCAATCTTATGGCCCTTTATGCCACTTGAGCAGCAGGATTTCCTATTTATTCAACATGTTCTGTCTGGTCTGTTCTTTCTGTTCCCTTCTTGCTAGGAGGGGCCTGATGTACTGAAAGAAAAAGGATGGGGCAGAGGGATAGGCATCCTCTCCGAGGAAATGCCTCCACCAACCCTCCCAGTGTACCCTAAAATGCCCTATATAGGAGATACACCTACAGGAACAACAAGAAAAAGACGACAGTTTATTGTCACCACTGGGAGCACAGGCCCCCCAGTCTGCTAAATCATCAGAATATTTAATTTATAGTCAAATGTCAAGTCACCTTCGAGCCTGTGTCCCTATCCCCAGCCGGGGCTCTATCCCCAGGCCCAACATATTTCTTGAGTGTCAGAGTTGTGGGTAATTGCATCAAAGCTACAGTATCCCACCTTAGGAGGCTGCAAAGATGGGACGGAGAGGGGGAGTGGCAAGTAGAAGAAAGCCATAGGCGAAGTCCAACCGATAGTCATTAGAGGGCAAGAATGGCCCAGGAGGTCAATAATCACAGGGGAAAGGGAATGCTGAGGACAAAATCTGGAGGAGAATGAAGGGTGGGAGAGGCCTGGGCCAGGAGGCAATCTTGGTCTGGAAGAGGTCGGCCTGAGTCAGGATATCTGGAGGCTGTGAAGCAAAGGACAGTGGATCAGGGGACTCAGACATCGTAGAAGAGTCGGACAAGCTGGTACCGAATGGAGAAGGTGACAGCACTGCCCACGACCTGCAAGGAGAAATGAACTACAGTAAGAACCACAGAGAAAGGGAGACAAGGAGATGTAAGTCACATCACCAACAGCATTGCACCTGTAGCAGCAGCAGGAACAGGGTGAGGTTTCTCTCATGCATGGGCCCAAAGATTTTAAGTAGCAAGTTGATGAGGGTCATGTTGTTACACTCCGTGAAGGCACCATCCTCATTCTCACTCTGGCGCACTGTCACTAGCCGGAGGCCTTCTGCTACCTGGAGGGGTCAAAAGTGGGGAGAACTTCAGCTAATACCTAGGCTTCAGGAATGGGGATCTGCTCAGTGCTTCCAAACTCCCCTTGGGTGTGATGTAGGCCTAGGTTCCCCATTCCCTGAATTCCGAATGGCAGCCTAGAGCCTTACCTCCTTGTTACCCTGTTACCTTTAGAATAAAGGTGCCCAAGAAAGAGAGGCTCTTGGTCTTGAACTTGGAATAGCTCATCTCCAGTTTGCCTGTCTTGGTATTGAGTCTGCAGGGGAAGACAGCTTCATGTGACTGGGCCACTACTCAAAGAACTCTCCTCCCTGTGCTTAATTAATAGGAAGAGCACTGAATGTGGAGTCAAACACCCTGAGATCTATTTCTGGCTCTGCTGCTTGCTTCTGTGGGATCAGAGCTGCTGTGAACATTAAATGAGATCATGGAACTAAATGTGCTCTGTAATGTATAAAGGGCTAACTGCATGGCAAGAGTTAGCCCTTCTTTGGGCCCATTCCCTTTGCACAGCAAACGTCTAAGGCATCCCAAGGGAAAAAGCTATGATGTCCCTTTCAAGCCCCAAAGCGGCTACCTGGGCATACGGTGGCGAGGGCAGGGGATGATATGCAGGAGCTGAGGCAGTGAGTAGACGAAGTTGAACACCTGGGGCATGAAGAAGAGTAGCATGGTCTTGCTGAAGTGTCCCAAGATGCCCACCACGGCAAAGGTCATGCCAGCAAAGTAACAGAAGGTATCTCCCACAAACACCCGTGATGGGTACCTGTGTAGGGGAGAGGATCTGAGCCAGTGGCAAGAGGCATTAGCAATCCTTTCTCTCACATCACACACCCTGCGCACTGGGCTAGCCCTGACCCTAGTTCTGGCTCAAGAGGACATTCCAGCTCTCCCAGCAACTCTCCAGGAAACAAGGTCCCGAATCCATCTATTCCTGGGGGCTCCACAGCACCTGCCCCCAGCTACAATTGGGTAGAGAATATTTAAGATTTAAGAATATTACCAAAAAGACCCAGAAAACACTCAATACAGAGATGCACAGGTTAAGCCTCTCCGTCAGGAGATGGGTCACAATGAGGAGGACTGTACTGGCCACAAATTCAAATAGCTGTCCCACTATCCACAGGCCTACTTACCAGTTATGGTAGAGCAATCCCAAGGTGGTGAAAAAAAAGGGTATCATGAAGTAGAGGGAAAAGACATGATCATCCCGACAATCACCTTTGGAAGCAGGGGAAAAAGAAAGAAGAAAACGTTGACAGCCACGTCCCCTGCACACCTGGGTCCTATTTTTGTCTGTCCCTGAGTTCTGTCCCAAGCTGTATCATCCACCTCTCTAAGTCCCAAGAACTCACTATCCCTTTTATGTCACCCAAGCAGTTCCCAACATTTCACCTCTTTCATGAACCCTTCCTAAACTAGTTACTGTCTTACATTTGGTTTAGACCATTCAGACCTAGGTCTGAATACCAGCTTTACTTCCTAGCTGTGTGACCTTGATCATGACACATTTAACTTCTCTGAGCCTCAGTTTCGTATCTGTGAAAAAAGGCTGATGGAAACACCTGCCACATAGAGCTGTTACAGAGTTTAAAGTGAGATCACATTTTAAAAGTGCTTAGCTTTAATAAGTACTTATGGATGTCCATCAGCCAAAAACCACCAGAAACACGCCTGTAGTCAAAGCTGGGTTTACTGACTTGAAACAAGAGAAACTTTGGAACCCACACACCATGGGGAACCATGGGATGCCTCAGTAAGGAGGTGTTAGGAGGACTTTTTATAGAATTTGTTTTAAATAATTCTGGGGAGGATGCAAGGAGGCAGAGTTTTGCCCCGCACTGGGTGCTGTCAGCAGAGATAATGCTATGATTGAGCATCTTAATAATTTTTATCCAAGAAGTGAGAGGAACTGAGTTGTTATCGGAAGGAAGCAGCAACCACTCATGTTAGCTAGAAGGGGATCTTGGTCATTTTTGTGAGATGCACCGCGTTCCTGTGGTTTTGTCTATGCTCAGACATGGTTACAGAGGGATCTAGTTTTGGTCTTACTCTATCACGGTCACAGAGTGACCCTGTCTGATTTTGAGGTTTTGTGAAGTTGTTTATGCTCAGTAGGAGAAGACCATGGCCTATCTATTAGTGCCAATGCCATTATAAATGACAGGGCTGCTATTTTCCTTTCTCACATTTAACAAATCTTAGTTTCTTTCTCACGTTTAACAAATTCCCCAAAGCCAGATAGCAGGCAACTTCCTTAACACTCAGACTTCTCTCCTCTCCCTAGTCCAATCCCACCTACCTTCCAGCTCCACCAGGTTGAAGACGATGATGGAAGCAGAAATGACTAGCGACTGGCCAGCCTCTAGGCCATTAATTCCTGCTAGGATATTGATGGCATTAGTACAGAACACTGCCAGCAGCCCCATGTAGACATAGTACAGGATCCCTGGGGGGAGAAAACAGTAAGAGAAGTAATGCCACCTGTAGAATAAGAATTTAAGGATATTCTTCTGAGAAAAGTGGTGAGGATAGAGGATGGGATGAAAGGCCAACAAAAGGATCTAAGAAAACACAGGGACAAAACAGGGAGGAGAATGTGGAGCACCAGGAAGGATGCTCTGCTGGATATCTCACAGGGTAAGGGTGCCCTGAAGTAGGGGCCATAGGGGCAGAAGTGGCAGTGCTACTCACCCAGGTCCAGATGCAGGCCAAGAAGTGGGCGTAAGGGCTTGGGTACCACAATGGTCGTGTTGCCAAAGTTGGTGAAATAGACCATGAGGAGAGGTAGTGAGGCAGCTGTGGGCAGCAGCAGCTTATGGCGCCAGCGCAGATTCAGTACATCATCCGCGAAGCCCAGGAAAATCATGCAGCAGATGGCAAGGAGTGCACCTATCAGGGCCACAAACTGGGGAGGGCTCGGGCAGGTCATGGCTCCAGCCTACTCCCACTTCACAGTTCCTTTTCTTTCGTTCTCAGTCCCTCCCCTCCCCGCCACACCCAAATAACCCCAACTCTCTCCAGTACCTCCCAGTCCCAGCCACAGGCAGCAGCCCTCACGAACCCACTTACTTCATGGTGGGGGAAGGCTTTACACTGCTCCTCCACAAAGCAGTTCAGGAAAGGGAAAGGGATGAAGCAGAAGAGGATGATAAGGAAAACAGCACCGCTGATCACTCCCTGGGACTCTGGGCTGTGGCCCAGCAGCAAGCCGGGGGGGAGGGGGAAGAGGAAAGGGGGCGTGGTCACTCACTAGTGCAAGCATCACCATAACCTGACTTGGGGGCGGGGAAGGGCACCACTACTGGAGTCCCAGATACACCCAAGGGTCCCATCTTCCCGCCTCCACCCCTTCCCCAATGCTAACCAGATCTGCCCTCCGCCTCCCAGAGTCCCGGGCTGGCTGTTGGGTTAGCACTACGTCTCCGCTCGCAGTCCAGCACTCCAGTCCCCGCCCCTGCCTGCCCACCCCTTCCGCACTGCCCCGGACCAGCGCGCGGCCCCTCACATTTGCTGCCGGCTGGATTTGTTGAGGTCCTGGCCGCAGAGCCGTGCGGCGATGAAGTGGCCACGGAAGGCAGGGATGAGGGTGAGTGTGGCTACAAGTCCCAGCAGCGAGCCGATCAAATTCACCAACAGCGGCATCGGCAACTCCGGGAAGGCCCACATGGTGACCGGCCAGGGGGCCTGGTCGGCCCCCTCCTTAACTAACGGGCAAGCTGGGCAGAAGCCCTGTGGCCCCAGCAGTAAGGAGTGGCCGCTCCCCACAGGCTGGATCTTCCCACACCACCCTGAGCGAAACCCAACGACTCTGACCTGAGCCGCCCTCAGGACTCCCGCGAGCCTCTATAAAGCAACCTTGGCTTTGCCCCACTGCATCTGCCTACCCACTGTTTCCACCCGGATCCAGTTCGCAGAGCAACTGTCGTTGTGGAAGGCGGCGGCCATTTTTAATATGGGCATAAGAGCAGGGACAGAAGTGTGATTTTAAACTACACCCTTTATTCGAGAGTTGAATCACCAAGAGGGGATTGGAAAAGCAATTAAAGAAGGACAAACAAAGGCGGATACTTTCCTAACATCATATTAAAGATGTAC